CAGGACTGACCGTCTTTGCAGCTCAGCAGGGTGGGGGGCTCGGGTACAATCTCTGTGAGAGGGGGCCTCACCCTAGGGTAGCCACTAGGGCTGGCCCTCCCACCAAGACCTCCTCTCCAGGGACCCAGCTCCAGACAGGGATGACTGGGGTGCTATTCTCAGCTCTGGCCACCAGCTGGCAGCGACACAGGCACTGGAGACTTGGCTGGACCGGCTCCGGGAAGGAGGGCGCAGGGGACGCAGGTGTCCCTGAACCCGGGTACTGGGCCAGCTCCTGAGGCTCTGCTCTCATCTGTGAGCTGGACTCCCCCGCCCCAGCCCCCCCGTCACTGTGAGCCATGTTACCGTCTGGAGCCACATCTCAAAGACTACTTTCTTTTATCTTTTTGGAGAGGTTTTTGCTGTAGGGCGCATGTTCTCACCAGAGAGACAGACAGACAGTGAGAGATCCCCCCCCAGGGGGAATGGCAACGCTGCAATCCCTTCTCCTCCATTCTCCTCTCGGGATCTTGGGCACGCACGCACACGCGCCCGGCGAGAGTTTTAAGCCACCGGGTCCGGGACGCGAACCGCGGTCAACTACGTGGGAGTCCAGCGACATAGCCATTACGCTAACTGCTGGTTCCCTGGAGCCACATCTTAAAGCCATTACTTTTCTTTTATCTTTTTGGAGAGGTTTTTGCTGTAGGGCGCATGTTCTCACCAGAGAGACAGACAGACAGTGAGAGATCACCCCCCAGGGGGAATGGCAACGCCACAATCCCTTCTCCTCCCTTCTCCTCTCGGGATCTTGGGCACGCAAGCACACGTGACATGGATTTAAAACCCCCGGGTCGGAGCCTCGAACCGTGGTCAGCTACATGGGAGTCCAGCGACACAGCCATTACGCCAACCGCTGGTCCCAGAGCCAGTCTTAAAGCCAGCAAGGTTTTCAGTATTATTTGCTTAATATTCCTCAGACCTCCCGACCAGAAGTAAGCGTAGCAGGGCCCGGGAAGCCCTGCCATGACACTGACACGCTCGTGGCTCCGTGGCGCACTTGCTGAGCAGGTGCTGCACAACGTCCCCGCGTGCCATTGATCCTCAGGACAGTGAGCATCCCCCACTGTCGGGACTGGGGCAGAGGCCGGGCCGTGCCCTCACATGGCCAGCAGGTGCACAGCAGGGCCACGAGCAAAAGGGAGTGTAATGCCATACCCTGTCCCACACACGGTGTCCCACGGTGCCCACACACGGTGCCCACACACGGTGCCCACACACGGTGTCCCACGGTGCCCACACACGGTGCCCACACACGGTGTCCCACACACGGTGTCCCATGGTGCCCACACACGGTGCCCACACACAGTGCCCACACACACAGTGTCCCACGGTGCCCACACATGGTGCCCACACACGATGTCCCACACACGGTGTCCCATGGTGCCCACACACGGTGCCCACACACGGTGCCCCACACACAGTGCTCACACACAAGTGCCCACACACGGTGCCCACACAAGGTGTCCATACATGGTGCCCCACACACAGTGCCCACACACAGGTGCCCACACACGGTGCCCACACATGGTGCCCACACACGGTGCCACACACGCGGTGCCCACATGCGGTGCCACACACACGGTGCCCACACGCAGTGCCCCATACACGGTGCCCCACACACGGTGCCCACACAAGGTGTCCATACAGGGTGCCCACACGCAGTGCCCACACACGGTGTCACACCCACGGTGCCTGTGAGCTCCTTGGGCTCCCTGCGAGCCTAACTTCTGGGCACCAGGCCCAGGGGTCAGTGTCCCCATCGCATAGGCTAGCTGGACAGCTTTACCCAGGAGGCTGGACTCTGCTCCCGTCCCCTCCCCTGCCCCCGCCGCTCTCCTCTGCAAGCTCTGGGTGCTCCCAGGTGCCCCGAGGGCCCGAGGGTGACAAGACGAGGCACCACTGACCTGCCATCCAGGGGACATGAGCCCCCTCCAGCAGGGCCAGGCCCTTCACGAGCCTGCATTCAGGCAGGACCTGGCGACCCCAGGGAAGCCAGGGGGACATGAGCAAGCCCCCCCCAGCCAGGCCAGGCCCTTCACGAGCCTGCATTCGGGCAGGACCTGGAGACCCCAGGGAAGCCAGGCTGTGGGGTGGCCTTGAGGGCAGGAAGGGACGCCGAAGGGGCAGACTCCAGCAAAAAGCCACTCCCGCAGCCACTTGGCTCGGCCCAGTCCAGCCCTGGAGTGTCCCCGGCCTGGACAGCAGCAGGAGGACCCCTCCCCCACACTGTGGCCGTGGGTGGCTGGCTGTACCCTGTCAGGCTGACTCCAGGGGCGGAGACGCACTGTCCCCGCCCTGGGCTGTGTCCCCTCCACAGTCCAGGCCTGGAAGTTGACCTGCGGTCGCCCACCGCCCCAGTCCTGGGCTGCCAGCAAGTCACCAGGCTCCTGGGGCTGGGTGGAGCCGCCTCCCCGGCCTGGTCCCAAGCAGGACCCTAAGCCCCCAGCCTTGGTAGGAGCGGTTGGCTAAGGCAGGTCCTGGGGCGGTCCTGTCCACTGCTGGCAGCCACGTGTCTGGGCACAGTGCTCCTGCTCCTGGGTGCTCTTCGTCGGGGTGAGTGCAACCCTTGGGCAGCGTCCCTGCTGTCCCCTCTCCAGCTGGAGTGCAGGGTGGGGTACTGGGGTGCCCCCGCTCTCCCGGGACTGGGCTCTCAGGATCATTCCCAGGGAGACCTGCCCTTGGGGACCCTGTAGGCGGTGGGTGGTGGGTGAGGGCAGCCAGGGGCGCCGGTTCACTGCCCACTCCGTACTGCGGAGCCCTGGGTGGGGGA